TCCTGCGCCGAAAGATGCCGCGATCAAAATCCTAATTTGGTAAAGGGGCGGAGGCGGAAAATATGCAACTATTGAAATACTGTACTATTTCGACCAAGTGTTCAGTCACAGGTCACAGCACCCACCGAACTGAACACTTGATAAAAGTAGTCTCAGGTCACCGATGCGACTGAACAGTGGGCCGTTTAAATATTTTTGTAGCTAAAAAATCGAAAATTCTCCCCGGAATCTCGGTTTTATGACTTCGAACGGCACTCCTTTGTCGAACAAGGCCATTGGGAATTCAGGAGGATGAGGCCCTATAAAATGCGACAGAAAAATTGCTTGTATGGGATCGTCGGATTGATGATAATCTGATGTAATAATTTACACGTTGAAGCGCGATTCCCCGCCATCCATGATGCGCAATCTCAAATGAATTTTTTGATAAATGAACACTTGAAAATAGGTGTCACAGGTCCCTGAGCCCGATGAACTGATGGCAAATGAACAGAGGTGGTCACAGGTCACAAGGCGTGAACACTTGGTCGAAATAGTACAGTAGTCGCCGTATCTCACCTCTCAATCGCGTTCTGCATATTGCTTTCAAGTACAACGCATTGCAACCGCTACTCGATGTAAAGATTGCGAACCTCCAGAAAGTCGTGTTTCGGTGCGACGAACTCGTACCGGAAAACGTGATGGTTTCAAATGTCCTCAGTACTCTACCCGTGCGCCGAGTCAAGCTGGTCTACCTGAAATTTGGCAAAATTCACGATCTGACACCCCGTTCGATTGGATCCGGTGTTCTTATGCAACACCCGGCAATGGAAGAGCTGGGGAGCCTCTCCGTCTCGTGGAGGACTCGTGGAGGAACAATCAATATTATGATTTTCCGCTTCATCACCGCTCTGGCGGCTCGAAGAGCTCGATGGGCCTGGGACAGTACACCTGCATTCCTGGAAATGTTGTGGAAATTTTATTCGACGGGCCGACATCGGTCCAAGAATGTCTTCATTTCCACTCGCTCAATGGACAGGCATCTCTCCTCCAATTTCAAGCACCCTTCCCGTAACCTGGATGGGCTGACGTATCTGACCATCTCGTTCTAGACTCTGAAGATTAAGACGCTCTGGCCCGGTGAGAGAAATTCCGCTTTCGTCGACTTGCTATCAAACTGATCACTCCAGGTATCACAGCGGGTGAGATTGTTGGCTATACAACTGATACAACAATTGACATCTGTTCAGGATACCACCGTCTGTGGTCGCATCGTTCTTACAACGCCTGTCTTCCTCTCCAAATATTCCTTACACTTGGGGGCATCAGTTCATTGAAGGGCTCGTGCTACTTCTGGTCCCGTGGACATCGTTCGCACCACAGATGGTGTGCTATCGGTTCTACTCTACTCGATATCAATTAAACAATAAAACCAGGACTGACACTGAGAAGGATCCATATGATTCCTCGGGATACTGGAATTGACGATGTTCCATAGCGCGGCCTTTTATATGGACCCATGTAGGCTAGATCCTTTTCAAGTCCAAACTGCGGTCTGGTCCGGTGGACTCTTCGGACTTGAGGCTGCGTGCAAGTTCCTTGGTCTGGCAAGCAATCTCGTGTATTCCCAAGCAACGAGATCGCCAAGGGCGCATTAACAATAAAGCTCAAGCACCTCAAACAAGTGCAGGAGTCCACTACATGGCCACAGGCAATTGAAGAGTTGCTGATCGTGACCTGGGAAGACTGAGTCTACAGGGTAAGTGATTCGTGTAATTGAACTTTGTACAGTCCAGGAAGAATTGAGAACGCGCCCTTTGCTTCTGGTAATTTAAGATTTACTTTCCGGCTAGCAGTACAACTAAACGAGTAAAACCTGTCAGGTGTCTGGTTTCATTCACAATGTTTCGACATTTCTAGACCAGCACCTGGGTGGCAAATCATATCTGACCCGAAATTTGGGGAAGGATATGATGGCGGCTTTTTACGGCGGCGTCCATCGACACTCGAACACTGCCCATAACGTGCGTCTTAACGTCCGAGCTTCGTTCATAACCAATTGACGCCTGTAGTTGATTTCCATGATGCGGGTTGGAGTTCTCATAGGAGGCGGATGTCCTCCAGATCAAGCCATATCTCCTTCTCAGATGCTCCACATCGCGACCCGACACCAAGACGATGGGACCATATCCAAATGACCTGACCCATGGGGCCAGATATGCCTAGAATATTTTCCAGATTGTAGACTCCGAGCATGTGTCATGTATAGAATCTTGATGACTGAACAATGAGCTCGTTTGCTGTTTCACGGCTGAGTCAGTTCCACCGTGAACTGTGTTAGTTGCGTTTTCTCGGGCAGGGAAATCGCAAATGCAGCTCGGGTAGGCTCCCATTTGTGGCAATCTTTTCTGTGTATAGAAAGCCTGAGGTCGAATGGAAAGCTACCTCAGCATCAAGCCACTGGAGGTAGAATGACCAACCCTCTCCAGGAAGCCTATGGAAAATTGGATCGTCTGTGAATACACAGAGTGGAGACACTCCTCCCTTGGGTTCTTGGGTGTTTTGTCTGCAGGCTGGACAATCATTGGACGTGTACACGAGCTTCTCCTCGGTCAGAACTCACTGATTACGGTTGAGCGATTCATGCTCGGCTCACAGCTGCATCCCGTCTTTGGCTGGCCGATCTTGCGACGTCCACGTGGACCAGAGATCACCGAGGAAGGAATCCAGTCATTTGTTGTTCTGCCCACGATGTCGGTGCAGCATTTATGCTCTGCTGAACACGATTGCCGCCAAGGGGACTGTAAACCAACTCTGAAAACACAAGAGTTCCAGGAACGAGAAGCTACCAACCGGGAAAGCAGCGCGATCCAGCATGCCGATGATGATCATTTCATTCTGAATCTTGCCGCACTTCACAATTTCGCTCGCGTCTGCCGTGCGCTTCCTCGGCATCTGACGGCGCTTAAACCACTCATTCAAGATCGTGTTGCATTCCACAAGGAAGCCTCGTTGAAAGCTCAAGCTACCCAGATGACCAAGAGGCAACAGGCGGCTGCAAAGAAGCGTGAGAAAGCTGAAGCGAAGAAGCGAGAAGCGGCGGAAGCTGAAGCAGCAGCGCAACGAGCCGAGAATGCTGAGGAGGAGGAGGAAGAGGATGAGAGCAGCAGGGAAGCAGAGGATGAGGATATTGCTGTTGTGCCTCATTGCACTCAGAGCACGCGCAAGAGAGGGAGGGTGATCGACTCAGACTCGGAGAACTCTGAGAATGAGAGCCAGGAGCCCGAGGCCGTAGTGGTTCGCCAGAGTACTCGCCAACGAAGGGCACCGAACCGTTTAGACTTGTGATATTAACAGAAATATTCCAGCAGTTGTCCAATCCGTCCGGCGTGGGATGTGGTGATTTGTGATAGAAGCAGATGATCAAGTCTTGAAGTGGCGGTGGGACTGTGGACCCAAGTGAATGACGCAAAGCAGGGGAAAATAACCCGAGCTTTGCGTCATTTTTACAACTGTCAAGTGGAGTTGAGGGACTGAGCCAAGATGTAAGCTCGTACTTCCCAAAATCGAGGGACAGGCCAATGTGGCCCAAGACAGATCCTGTGAAAGCGAAGCTGTTATGATGGTGTATCTAATCACCCGAGCTTTGCGTCACTATTGAGACCGTAAGGGCCACACGTCGGCACTGTGAGCATCTTGAGCCCGGCGTGCCCCGGGAGGTCCGACAACTCGTAAGTAATGTACTGTGAATGATGGTTTGAGAACAAGAGTGAAAGATTTCCCACGTCAGATGGGAGCCGAGTTTGCAGGCCTGATCTCGGTGAAACTGATAATCAGTATCGGTTTCACCGAGGACAGGAAACTCTTGAACTCATTAGTATCAATTTCGCCGATCTGGGTTAAACATAGTATCAACGTCTGAGGTGCGATATCAAAATGTGTTGAGGCTGACATCAGACTGAAGAACAATAGACATCTTACAGACTACTCTCGCCGAACATCATTCAGACTCGACTTCAACATCAACCTGATGTAATAGCCCATCATCAATTTAATATATGCCGAAGGCATCTGCTTAATGTCCATCTGGGTTGGTGGTGTACTCTCATTGCTTTGGAAGTGCCGCGTACCTGGTCAACCAGCCTGATACTGTATGGTCACTGCTGTGCTGCTACTCAGTACGACTCATCATCTGGTTCAAGGATATGGTTGGGTTTGCTTTTGTGTGATTCAGCTTGGGTCAGTGTTCCCTTGTTTCTGGATTGTTTCGGTTACAGTGCATGTTGGTCGGACAACGTGTTCAACACCAGTCAAGCAGATATACTCAATTATTTTGAGTTCTACTGACCCGTAAATTGGGGACGTTGGCAAGTGCGGGGCGATTCTGATATTATTGCTCGGCACCCACTTCGGGGTTGAAGTCGATGAAGGACGGACAGGCTGCTATTTGGTGCCACAAAAAAAATGTTCAAACATGGGGTCGTCTTAAAATCCACACATATCGAACAGTGCGGAATACTGATAACCTTAAATTCTCATATGGTTCAATATCTTCTTTCATTGAACACAGGTTCATTCCCTCGGAATTGAACACCAGGTCTTGGTGCTGATTAATTAAGGTGAATTTCTCGTACTCCATATTTTTCTCCAAGGCAAGTGAGACTCCTAAGCAAAGGTGATTAGGGGAAGTTCAACTTTGGAGTTCCTACTGGTGAACTCCCTAATGTGAAACTCCAATTATCTGCCCTAGCCTGTCCGACAAGCTCTGCGCGAACCTTTCAAGAAATGATCTGTGTTGCATGTTGTTGGGTTGAATGGAGGTATAATGATTTCCTAGATAAACTCGGAACATGGCTTATTGCAGTTAGAGTGTAGCATGAGTATCAAATATCACGAATATTTGGGCCTGTCCATTCGCGAATTGCGAATATTCGTATTTGTGAATTGGGGCAGCAGTGCTATTCGTTGTGAGGTGTGACCTCAGGCAGGAGTGTGCAGCAAGGTTCATCTGCTCCAAGAACGGTAGCTTAGCTCAGTGGTTAGACCCTCAGGTCAGAGCATCTTAAGTGTAATAAGAAGGTCCCAGGTTTGATTCCTGGAGTAACCATTCTTTTCCATTTTCACATACCAAGGCAAAAGGCATAGTCACATCATACGAATGCGAATATCAGGCTTTGGGGAAGTTGATATTCGTGAATATTTGTCAGGTAATCCTGGGTTAATCACTGTGGAATAGAACAACCTCGGATCAGAGAGAACCAACCGTATCTTGGCAGATTCCCAAGTCATCTATCCATTTCAACAATGTCCATCTGTCCAATCTGTCAAAATTGGAAGTATATGATGCTGAAGCTGGAAGTAACAGATCATGAAGTAAGCTACTGTCTTCTTTCCATGCTACAGCTGGCTTCTGTCAAGAGGACCTGATTATCTTCGGAGTTTCTGAATGCTGACCATGACAAGCAGCTGATCTTCCTCAGAGTTTCTGAACACTTGCATCAGTGAGGAGCTCATATTCTTCGGAGTTTTGGTACTCTCATTTAACCTGCACTTGTGGGGCTTAACAACTCAACACCCCAATGGCCTCTGCATCTTTGAGGAATCAGAGGAAGGCTGTAAGCTCTCATCCTCTATCTGCTCTGGAGCCTCCATCATTCCTGTGATCCGACAATGACAGCGAGTCTACACCAGACGACAGTGCTTCACAGGTTCCCAGTAGCAACATCTCTCATGTATCGTCTCATCGCCATGGCAAAGCACCAGATATGCTGAATGGCTTTTCTCCTTCTCAGGAGGGACAATAATGAAACTCCGCAACCAGCTGTCTGAGAAATCTGCCCATTCCGCTGTGATGGTTGGCCAGTGGGCAAGTGACCCAGACCTCATTGCAGTTGACAAGTTTAAAAGCCAGCTTGCTGAGGGTTGGACACGCAAAAAGAAGCAGAGAACATCGGCTTCAGCTGAGACACAAGGATCATCAAAGTTATTGTTGTTGAAGATAACAGCTCATAGTTCAGTTGTTGGACTTCAAGGATGAGACTCCAAATAAGCAGGGAACCCGTTGCAAACACACGGGGAATTCATTTGACATATACATGAATATATACCAAAAAAGGGCTGTAAAGAGCTGTGGAAGGGATATCAAAAACGACGAGCTGTAAGCTGTAAGCTGTAAAGAATGAGCTGTTGAATTGAGCAGTGCGTGCACAGCAGTTGTACTTTCAACATCAGTAGCTGAAATTGAACTTTATATAAATGCTATTCATGAATAACTCACAACTAACAAGTATTCAAACTCGCTGAATGTGAATAGTTGCCACTCACGAGTATTAGCAAATACAGCTTACTAATCCACAAATATTTGCCATCAATACTTGTATGAATGCGAATATCATTTCTCCCACTTCGATGAATATTCATATTTGTGAATGTATATTTGTGCTACACTCTAATTGCAGTGGATGGAACTCTCAGCTACAAGACCCAAGGTGAAAGATCCTATGCTGGCTGGTGGGCTCAGTGAGTCTACAAAGGCAGGGCCAGACGGGACACAGTGGGGCGTGCACAATACAGGTGCAACGTAAAACACAGCTTGGCTTCTTTTAATTTAAGAGTGCAAACAGGCCGACGTTGCAGCCACACCACAACACCATAGGTGCTCCACCTGCCAACCCTTCCACCCTTCATCTTTCCTTCCCCTCTACTTACCTACTGCAACTTCGCCCTCGCTCCCTCCGAAATTCACGCCTGCATCTCCCTCTCCCGCTGCACCAGATTCTGCGGGAAGCTGGGCGACAGCAGGTCCCCCACCACTGCTGCCAGGAATGCATCCCACACCGCAGTCGGCACGTGCATGCAAAGCCAGAGCACACCGTCGTTGGGGTTCTTCATGGCTGTGTTCACCTTCCACCCATTTGTATCTGGGCCTTTTGTGTTAACTTCGGTGTCTGTGGCCCACACTCCATCAGCCTGCTTCATGGACGACGCCTTGAAGATGCACACATAACCAGCAAAGGAGCTGTACATGACCGCGCGCACCTTGTTCGTACTGTACCCAAAGTGCGACGTAGACCAATTGGCTCTGTTTGATTATTGTCAGTCTGCATCATACTCCAGAACAGCAAGCCAAAAGAAAAACCCGCAACACACTTTGGCATACTATTAACCACAAACCTGCCCTCCCCCTTGCTCGGCCAAAACTGGTGCCCCAGCGCCTCCTCGCTCTGCTTCTGCCAAATCGGCTCCAAGACAGCCACCACGTGCTTTATGTGCGCATACTTGCATGCAGTGGTGATGCTTGTGTGGACGGTGCACGCTGTGAGGTCTCCGAGCGTGCTACGCATCACTCGTCGCCTCATGGCCCCTGCGAACCATCTGCACGAGTAACGGGATGAGCCGGACGTACACGACGGATCTTCCTAAACGGGATTCCATGTTACCGGAAGCAGCTTCCGAGCGAGACCACCGCTCTCCCCACATCCGCATTGTCTCCCCCGCCAATTTGGGCTCGCTCCTGCACCATTGTCACACGGATACGACCCGTACGCCACAACCCACGGGTTCTCGACGCCTACGACACGACCTTCTGCATCCAACGAACCGGCGCTCCTCGTACCGCACGGACTGCGCTCGTCGCTACTCGGCGTCCACCAACAGGATACGACCGGTCCCCTGGCGCGTGGACGACCTTCCCTCGTTTCCGTTCCCGGACGCTCTCCCACACCGGACGGACCTACCGTGTGCCTGACGCCGACCCATCGGACGAGGCAGAGGATATCCCGGCACAGCCCTTTCCCCACTTCACACGACGCATCGACTAGCCGAGAGGAGACCATCCGTCTCTCCCCCTTCCTGAGCACTTGAGCACCCGCCGACGCAACTACCAGCCGTTCCTGGAACTCCAGACGTATTCCGAGGTCGTTTGGCCTCACCGCGCCTCGCGCGGATCCAGAGACGATTGATCTCCTCAGCAGAGGCGTCCGTTCTCCTGCCATACATGCACCCCGAAACGCCTCATGACGTCCCCTGCCCCCTGGAAACACCTGCGACCCGCATGGCACCTCTGGAAACGTGGGAAGTCGTCGAGGAGATATAAAAGGGAGCGCATTTAGTAGGAGTAGTCAGTACCTTCCGGCTGGCAGAAGTAGCTTCGGGGGTGTTTTCCCCCCCACTTTCTGTACCACTCTCACTCAATCCAAAGGGGTACTCCCAGCCTTCCCCAACCTCGTACCTCTCGTGCACCCTCCTCCTCGCCCACTGCTGGAGGCAGGCCACATATCTTACATTTGCTCATTCATCGGTGTCTCACCTCTCACACCTTCGTCAGCAGGGTCCCTCCTCACCGGACCCGGTGTCACCATCCCAGGCTTCCTCGATTAGGATCACCGTTCTCGCGAGCTTCTCTCTGTAGAAAACAGGCCCGGAGAGAAGCCATCACATACAAATTGCCGTCCATAGCCAACGAGACCAACCGTCTCGCCGTCGACTGAACGACGTCGGTGTCATCGTCTGTGCGACACACATCGCATCTCCAGCGCTGGTTCTAAGAGGAAGAGCGCACAAAGGAAAGCAGACAGGGCAATGCATTTAGGGTTCCAGTACTATCGTACGGGGAACCAGGTTTAGGTATTCACGCCTTCTTTACCGTTTCCACTGATAACAGGTCCGCCGCACACGCCCACACCAAGGAGACGAACGGTCTCCACGATCCACCGTTCACACACACACACACACCCATCGCTCATACAAGGCTGATTTGCGCACCGACCTTCCGCTCTATCATTCGACTATACCTTTCCCTCTAGAGGACGAACGTAGTCGAATTCGAATCACATATCTTTCGATACCGACACCGCGGTCCTTATCACACCGCCTGTCCGCTCCACTTCAATTGACGGTTGTCGGGGGCATGTGAGCTGCTTTCCAGCGTGGCTCCAACTTGAGACATTTGCGAGGGGGTCAGAGACAACGGAGAAAACATGGCTATCTATACACCTGCCCGTGCCCCCAAATGTGTCCTGGGGTCGATGGCTCCCCTATTGGACATGCAGACGGCTGGCCTCGTAACCACGGTGAGAACAGAAGAGTCCAAGCTGTGTTACATCCCCTGATTGTGCTCATGCATACCGCCTGTGCACTTGCAACAGTGGGTTGAATGTGCATTCCGAGAGAAGGTGAGCTTGCATGACAAGAATGTGCAGCTGCATTGAGGTAGTCAAGTTAGCATGGGTTCTTCTAGTGAGGAGGACGTTAGAGGAGTGACGGAAGTGTGGGGAGTGGGTGAGGGAGCAGGCAGGAGTGGGGGTAGGAACAGGGGAGTGGGCACTTAAGTGGGCAGAAGGGAGTGGGGAGTGGGCACATAGAGAGAGGAGTGGGGAAACACACTACACAATTTCATGAACATCGAGCTCTCAGGCAGGAGCGTGTGCAGCACCGCACCGAAGATGCTGATGCCCGATGCGGTCCAGGAGAGCGCGTGCCAGCCAACATTCACGGTGGGACAAGCTCGAGGGAGATGACAGCAGCGATTTGGGGAGAGCCAGAAAGGGTTAGCTGGATCCAACGAAAACTAGGAGGATAGGATTGGGGTGGAGAGGGAGGCGGTGATTGAAAGCTCCTGAGACGAAGATAGCAGGAGCACAACATATGAGATGCGAGACAACTGCCCCCTTTGCTGGACAACAATGGAAAGGGGTACAAATGAAGCACCCGGGAAATGCGGGAATACAGGTAGCAGCTGCATTCGGATGTCCAGAGCGAATACACACATCCCCAGAATCTCTACCCATCCCCAAACTGAAGAAACGACACAACAGGAGTGCGAAATTGTGTCCGCTCATCCCCGGAAACCCAACACCACCACCCAAAACGGACGGAGCAAGACCGCAAGACCGCCAAAATAAAGCAATGAAAGGAGATGGACCCACCAAATATCCGACTGCATATCCCTGCTACAGCACGCCGCTCGCGAGGCCATGCAGGCCCATGGGGAGGTTCTCGAGTGCGGTGGAGGTGGCGAGGCCCCATATACCACCCATGCTGATGCCTGAGGGACGAAGGGTTAGCATTTGCAAAATATAATGAAAATAAGACAAGAAAGGAGAGTGA